CCCCCCGCCCGCCTCGCGCGGCGCCGCCGCCAATCACCGCCCGCCGAGGGCAGGCGAGAGCGAGGCGCGGACCAATGGGAAGCGGGCGGCGGAGAGTTCCTCCCGCCTCCCCGGCGCCGATTTGATTGGCAGGCAAACTGACCAATGGGCGCGCGAGAAGGCGCGGGAGGCCGTCGCGCTCGGCGCACCCCAGCCAATGAGAAATGAGAAACAGAGAAGCGCGGCTCGCCCCGCTCTGTGCTTGATTAACAGCAGTCCCACCCAATGGCGCGCAAGGCCTTCACTGAGTGACAGCTGCGCGAACCAATGAGACGACGCACAGGATTCGCGCGCTTGAGTGGCAGCGGCGCGCACCAATCGCTGCAGGGCGGCGGCACCGCCCCTTCGCCCCGCAGCGGTTGCCACGGCGACGGGCGGCCCGGGCCCTGAGCGGGGTGAGGCCGCCATGGCGGGGCCGCGCTGGCCCCGGGGCTCCCCGGCCGGCCCGGAGCGGTGGGGCTGTTCCCAGAACCCTGCTCCGGGCCGGGATGTGCCGCTGGATGCGTGGGGAAAGGCGGAAAGGCGCTGCTGGCGTCAGGCCGCGGCCTTGCCTTGCCCTGCCCGGGTCATCGGCCCCTAACGCGGCCTGCAGCCGCACAGCCCGGCTGAACAGCCGCGGAGCAGGGCTCGCACCTGCGGGTCCTTCAGCCCTGAGCGCGGGGATCCGTGAGGGATCCTGCCCTTCCCACATGGATCTGTGAGGGATCCTGCTCCTTCCCACATGGATCTGTGAGGGATCCTGCTCCTTCCCACATGGATCTGTGAGGGATCCTGCTCCTTCCCACAGGGATCCGTGAGGGATCCTGCTCCTTCCCACAGGGATCCGTGAGGGATCCTGCTCCTTCCCACATGGATCTGTGAGGGATCCTGCTCCTTCCCACATGGATCCGTGAGGGATTCCTGCTCCTTCACCCCTTCCCAGAGAGATCTGTGTGGGATTCCTGCCCATCCTTGCTCCATTTGGGATTCCTGCCCCTTCCCACAGGGATTTGTGTGGAATTCCTGCTCCTTCACCCCTTCCCAGAGGGATCCGTGAGGGATTCCTGCCCATCCTTGCTCCATTTGGGATTCCTGCCCCTTCCCACAGGGATTTGTGTGGAATTCCTGCTCCTTCACCCCTTCCCAAAGGGATCCGTGAGGGATCCTGCTCCTTCACCCCTTCCCACAGGGATCCCTGCGGGATTCCTGCCCGTCCCTGCTCCCTGTGGGGTTCCTGCCCCTTTCCCCTTTCTACAGGGATTCCTGTGGCATTCCTGCCAGTTCCCCCCTTCCCACACAGATCCCTGTGGATCCCTGCCCATCCCACCAATTCCTGCCCCTTCCCACAGGGATTCCTGCTCCCTGTGGGATTCCTGACCCTTTTCCCCTTCCCACAGGGATCCCTGTGGGGTTCCTGCCCCTTTCTACAGGGATTCCTGACAGTTCCCCCCTTCCCACACAGATCCCTGTGGATTCCTGCCTCTTCCCACCTGGATCTGTGTGGGATTCCTGCCCTTCCCTGCTCCATTTGGGATCCCTGCCCTTCCCACCTGGATCTCTGTGGGATTCCTGCTCTTCCCACCGGGATCTGTGTGGGATCCCTGCCCATCCCTGCTCCATTTGGGATTCCTGCCCTTCTCCCCATCCCACCTGGATCTGTGTGGGATCCCTGCCCATCCCACCTGGATCTCTGTGGGATCCCTGCCCCTTCCCACCTGGATCTGTGAGGGATTCCTGCCCTTCCCTGCTCCATTTGTGATCCCTGCCCTTCCCACCTGGATCTGTGAGGGATTCCTGCCCTTCCCTGCTCCATTTGGGATTCCTGCCCCTTCTCCCCTTCCCACATGGATCTGTGAGGGATTCCTGCTCCCTGTGGGATCCCTGCCCATCCGTGCTCCATTTGGGATCCCTGCCCATCCCACCTGGATCTGTGTGGGCTCCGTGCCCACCCCCGTGCCCAGCTCCTGCCCAGGCCCGTGCCAGCCCGGGCAGCACCACCCCGATGCTGCCATTCCTGCCCGTCCCTGCCCTGCCCCAGAAACCTGCCGGGACAAACAGGATGCCGCAGACGCTGCTTCATCCCGGGAAACAGAAAAACAAACCAGGGAAAACGCCGCGTGGGACGCCACACCCGCCAGCAGGGTGGGGTTGGCCAGGTTTTGCCAGGTTTTCCCAGGGTTTCCCAGGCTTTTCCAGGGTTTTCCAGGTTTTCCCAGGGTCTCCCAGGGTCTCCCAGGGTCTCCCAGGGTCTCCCAGGGTTTCCCAGATTTTCCCAGGGTCTCCCAGGTTTTCCCAGGGTCTCCCAGGTTTTCCCAGGTTTTTCCAGGGTTTCCCAGGGTTTCCCAGGGCTTCCCAGGTTTCCCCAGGTTTTCCCAGGGTTTCCCAGGGTCTCCCAGGTTTTCCCAGGGTCTCCCAGGGTCTCCCAGGGGCTCCCAGGTTTTTCCAGGGTTTCCCAGGGTTTCCCAGGGCTTCCCAGGTTTCCCCAGGTTTTCCCAGGGTTTCCCAGGGTCTCCCAGGTTTTCCCAGGGTCTCCCAGGGTCTCCCAGGGGCTCCCAGGTTTTTCCAGGGTTTCCCAGGGTTTCCCAGGGCTTCCCAGGTTTCCCCAGGTTTTCCCAGGGTTTCCCAGGGTCTCCCAGGTTTTCCCAGGGTCTCCCAGGGTCTCCCAGGGGCTCCCAGGTTTTTCCAGGGTTTCCCAGGGTTTCCCAGGGCTTCCCAGGTTTCCCCAGGTTTTCCCAGGGTTTCCCAGGGTCTCCCAGGTTTTCCCAGGGTCTCCCAGGGTCTCCCAGGGTCTCCCAGGGTCTCCCAGGGTCTCCCAGGTTTTTCCAGGGTTTTCCAGGGTTTCCCACGTTTTCCCAGGCTGTTTGTGCCCCCCAAAACCTGCAGAGACCCAGGGCTGAGTCCAGGGAGACAAGGGAAGAAGTTTGAGGGGCTGGAAGTGCCCAGATCCCAGAGATTATTTTTTTTTTGGGTCATGCCCTCCCTAAACGCCCCTGGGTTGGATTTTGGGGGTGATACTCAGTGTAAACCCACCCAGAATAGATTTTGGGGGTGTTGCCCACCCTGAACCCCCAATGGGATGGAGATTTGGGGGTGTTTTCCATCCTAAACCCCCCTGGGCTGGATTTTGGGGGTGATGCCCTATCCCAAACCTTTCCTGGTTGGATTTTGGGGTTGTTTCCCACCCTAAACACACCCATGTTGATAATTTGGGTGTGCTGCCCACCCGAAATCCCCCCTGGGTTGGAGATTTGGGGGTAATGCCCACCTCAGAGCCCCCCCAGCTTGGATTTTGGGGGTGTTTTCCAAACCAAAGCCCCCCCAGGTTACAGATTTGGGGTTGTTGCCCACCCTGAACCCCCCGGGCTGGATTTTGGGGGTGTTTTCCACCCCAAACCCTCCCTGGTTGGATTTTGGGGGTGTTTTCCACCCTAAACCCCCCCGGAATAGATTTTGGGGGTGTTTGCCACCCTAAACCCCCCCGGAATAGATTTTGGGGGTATTGCCACCATGAACCCCCCTGGGATGGATTTTGGGGGTGTTTTCCCCCCTGAACCCCCCCTGGGATGGATTTTGGGGGTGTTTTCCCCCCTGAACCCCCCCTGGGATGGATTTTGGGGGTGTTTTCCACCCTAAACCCCCCCTGGAATAGATTTTGGGGTTGTTGCCACCCTGAACCCCCTATGGGATGCATTTTGGGGGTGTTTTCCACCCTGAACCCCCTGTGGGATGGATTTTGGGGGTATGGCCACCCTAAACCCCCCCCCCGGAATAGATTTTGGGGGTGTTTTCCACCCTGAACCCCCCCCCGGGCTGGATTTTGGGGCTGTTTCCCCCGCCCAAACACCCCCCAGGATAAAGGCAGCCCCCCCAAAGCCCTCCCGTGACTCCCCGGGGCCGTTTCCAGCTGGGAACCCGAGCTGGGCTGTCCCTCCGGGTTATTTTTGGTGTCCCCGGGGCTGTTTGGGGACAGCTGGCCCCGTCCCCGTGCCCACCTCGTGCCACTGAGGGGGGCACAGAGCCCCCTCCCCATTTCTTACCCCCAGGAAAACGCCCCAGCCCCAAAAATGAAAGGGAAAACCTTCCCAAACACGGGAAAATTCGGGTGAGTCACCAGAAAATTCCAGGCTGGGACAGCTCAGGGAACGGGAGCAGGGCCATGGAGGGGCTGGGATTATTTGGGACCCCCAAATCCAGGATCCCCTGAGATCCAGGAGCCCCTTCCCCATTTTTTCTCCTCCAGGAAAACGCTCCACCCCAAAAACCGAAGCGAACAAGGGAAGATTCGGGTGAGTCACCAGAAAATTCCAGACTGGGAGAGCTCAGGGAACGGGAATGGAGGGGCTGGGATTGCTTGGGATGGATCCAGGAGCCCCGTCCCAGGGCTGATAATAGCCAGGATTAATTAGGCACTAATGAAGTTCGTCCTTCCCAGCTGGATCCAGCCGCAATTAAAGATTTTCCTGCCCAATCCGGTGTTGGGGTGGGGTTGGCTCTCTCCCTCTTTGCTGGGGTGTGTTTTTGGGGTGTTTATGGGGTTTTTTGTTAAAGTGCAGCGATCACTTCCATGGGTCCAGCACAGGGGTCCCGCGGGGCTGGGACCCCCCACTCCCCATGGCTGTTCCCTACAGACCCCCCAAGCTTGGGACAGCCGTCCTAAGGACACCCCAACATTGGGATCGCCCCCTTTTTGGGGAACCCCCGACCCTACAGACCCCATACCCAACCCCTCACCCTCCTTTGGGATCACCCCCTTTTGGGAACCCCCCAAACTGGGTTTTGCCCCAGTCCCGGGTGTCCCCAGTGCTGCAGAGCCCCCCGGGCTGGCACAGCCCCTGCAGGGCCCCCCGGAATCCCTCCCTGGACCCCCAAAATCCCTCCCTGGACCCCCAAAATCCCTCCCTGGCACCCCAAAATCCGTCCCTAGGACTTCAGCGCGCCTCGTTCCCGACGCTCCTTGCGACACCGGGCTTTATTTGCATAGCTCCGCCCCTTACAGCACACGATAGCCTTATAAGGTGTGTGATCCCGCCCATTCCCCACCGTGGCCCCGCCTCTCGTGCCCCGCCCCGGCTCGCGCATTCGCGGTCCTGCAGCGCCACCTGCCGGCGGCTCTGCGGCAGTGCGGGGACCCCGCCCTGACCCCCCCAAACCGGGACCCCAAATCCAGGACAAATCCGGGACCCCTTCCTGACCCCCCAAACCGGGACCCCAAATCCGGGACCCCTTCCCAAACCGGGACCCCCCTTCGGGACGCCCCAAAACTCTGCCCCCAATAAACCCCCCCCCCTCTTGGGGGCTCCCCAGTTGTAGCGACCCCCCTCAATCACAGGGGTCCCCTCCCTTGGGACCCCCCGGGACACCCCAACCCAGGGACCCCCCGTGCCCACCCTGGGGACCCCCAAAGCGGGGCCAGCCGGGGGTGGGGCAGGGCACGAAGCGCCCCCCAAACCCCAGCCCCGTCCCCTCTGTCCCCGCGGGGTGTCCCCGTCCCTGGGGGGCTCTGTGTCCCCTCTGTGGCGACCCCCGGGGTCCCCCCTCCCTCCTCAGCCCCAGAACAAAGAGGGGGAGGAGGAGGAGGAGGAGCGCGAAGGCCCCGGCGGTGACAGCTGGTGCCCCCCGGGTGACACGGGGACAAAGGCACCGCCGCGGCGACAACGGGGCTGACGGGGGGCACGGGGCTGGGGGCAGCGACCCCACACACCCCACAGCACCCCCAGATACCCCAGAGCACCCCAGACACCCCAGAGCACCCCCAGATACCCCAGAGCACCCCAGAGCACCCCCAGATACCCCAGAGCACCCCAGACACCCCACAGCACCCCCAGATACCCCAGAGCACCCCCAGACACCCCAGAGCACCCCCAGATACCCCAGAAAACCCCACAGCCGTGTGGGGTGCAGGGCGGTTTGGGGATAACAGGGCGGGAGAGTTTCGGGGTGCCCGTTTCGGGGTGCCCGTTCGGGGGTGCTCTTTTCGGGGTGCCCGTTCCGGGGTGCCCGTTTTGGGGATGGCTGTTTTGGGGTTCCCGTTTCGGGGTGCCCGTTTCGGGGTGCCCGTTCGGGGGTGCTCTTTTCGGGGTGCCCGTTCCGGGGTGCCCGTTTTGGGGATGGCTGTTTTGGGGTTCCCGTTTCGGGGTGCCCGTTTCGGGGTGCCCGTTCGGGGGTGCTCTTTTCGGGGTGCCCGTTCCGGGGTGCCCGTTTTGGGGATGGCTGTTTTGGGGTTCCCGTTTCGGGGTGCCCGTTTCGGGGTGCCCGTTCGGGGGTGCTCTTTTCGGGGTGCCCGTTCCGGGGTGCCCGTTTTGGGGATGGCTGTTTTGGGGTTCCCGTTTCGGGGTGCCCGTTTTGGGATGGCTGTTTCGGGGTACCCATTCCGGGGTGCCCGTTTCGGGGTGACCTTTGCGGGGTGCCCGTTTCGGGGTGCCCGTTCCGGGGTGCTCTTTTCGGGGTGCCCGTTTCGGGGTGCCCGTTTTGGGGTGACCTTTGCGGGGTGCCCGTTTTGGGATGACTGTTTTGGGGTGCCCATTCCGGGGTGCCTGTTTCGGGGTGCCCGTTCCGGGGGTGCCCGTTTTGGGGTGACCTTTGCGGGGTGCCCGTTCCGGGGTGTCCGTTCCGGGGTGCCACAGGGCGGGAGAGTTTCGGGGTGCCCGTTTTGGGGTGCCCGTTTTGGGGTGCCCGTTCCGGGGTGCCCGTTTTGGGGATGGCTGTTTTGGGGTTCCCGTTTCGGGGTGCCCGTTTTGGAACGCTGTTTTGGGGTGCCCATTCCGGGGTACCCATTGCGGGGTGCCCGTTTCGGGGTGCCCGTTTTGGGATGACTGTTTTGGGGTGCCCATTCCGGGGTGCCTGTTTCGGGGTGCCCGTTCCGGGGGTGCCCGTTTTGGGGTGACCTTTGCGGGGTGCCCGTTCCGGGGTGTCCGTTCCGGGGTGCCCGTTTTGGGATGGCTGTTCCGGGGTGCCCGTTTCGGGGTGCCCGTTCCGGGGTGCCGCCCGGGGCCCCCCGCAGTCAGTGCGGCTCGGCTCTCCTGCCGGCCGCGTTTCCTCTCGGGGGGCTCCGCTCCTGGGGTGCCCCCCCGGCCTGTCCCCTCGGGGGGCCGCGCGCCTGGGCACCCCCCTCCTGCGGGGTTGGGGGCGCCCGTTCCGGGGTGCCCATTTCGGGGTGCCCGTTTCGGGGTGCCCGTTTCGGGGCGCCCGTTCCGGGGTGCCCATTTCGGGGTGCCCGTTTCGGGGTGCCCGTTTCGGGGCGCCCGTTCCGGGGTGCCCATTTCGGGGTGCCCGTTTCGGGGTGCCCGTTCCGGGGTGCCGCCCGGGGCCCCCCGCAGTCAGTGCGGCTCGGCTCTCCTGCCGGCCGCGTTTCCTCTCGGGGGGCTCCGCTCCTGGGGTGCCCCCCCGGCCTGTCCCCTCGGGGGGCCGCGCGCCTGGGCACCCCCCTCCTGCGGGGTTGGGGGGCTGCACCCCTTCCTGGCCCCCTCCGTGAGCTTCGTGGCCCCCCAAAAATCCTCTGGCTGAGCGTCCCCAGCTCATCACACCCATAGGGGGGGGGGGGGGGGGTGAGCCCCCCAAAAATAACCCCCGACCGTTTTCCATCCCCGGGGCCTCGACTGTTCCTTAATTTCTGTTCCCTTCCCCTCCAAGGACCCCCAACTCCCGGGGTCCCCCAGCTCCCGGGACCCCCCAGCTCCCGGGGCCCCCCCATCCGGCCCCCCGCGTGTCCCCCCCGCGCGGGTTGTCGCCGCCGCGGTGACACATGGCTCCCCGGGCTCGGGGCAGCTGTCGCCCCGCTCCGCCTGCCCGTTACCGGGACATTTGGCGGCCGCGGAGCAGCTGCAGCGCCGGCCCTGGGGAGGGGGCTCGGGGGGCTCGGGGGTCCCCACCCCGCTGGGGACATCGGGAGCGGCTGCTGCGCCCTAAAAATGGGGCTGAGAGGGGGAGGAGGGGGAGAGGGACGGGGAGAGGGAAGGGGAGAGGGATGTGGGGAGAGATCGGGGAGGGGAGGATGGGGAGAGGGATGGATGGAGAGGGATGGGGAGAGGGATGGATGGAGCGATGGGAGAGGGATGGGGGAGAGGGATGTGGGGAGAGATCGGGGAGGGGAGGATGGGGAGAGGGATGGATGGAGAGGGATGGGGAGAGGGATGGGAGAGGAATGGATGGATGATGGATGGACGGACGGACGGACGGGGAGTGCACAGGGCCGGGTGTGGCGGCGGTGGCCGCGGGGACAGTCGGGGACAGTCGGGGACAGCAGAGCCGCCCCCCAGCTGGCGGGGTCCCGGCGCTAATGGAGCGAGCGGCGCTGTCAGGGACGCAGGGACGGGACAGATGGAGGGACCTTAATTGGTAATTAAATCCTTCCCTGGCAGGTGAGACGGAGCAGCAGCCGGCCGGGGGGAGGTGACACCGCCGGGGGGAGGTGACACCGCGGGGTCCCCGCTCCCGGCCCTGTCCCGTCCCTTTGTCTGGATCGCCCCCCAGGCTGGTGACAGTCCCCGCATGGCAGGGACAGCCGAGCGGGGCACAGGGACCCACACGGGACCCCGGCTTTTTGGGGGGGCTGCGACTGCAGGTCCCTTCTGTCCCTCTCTCCCTCTGTCCCTTCTGTCCCTCTGTCCCTCTGTCCCTGTCCGGGGGATCAGGGGCCGGGGTCCCGGGGGGAGATGGAGGCGCCATAGAGGCCCGAGCCCCCCCAGCGCCTTCGCTGTGGTGACGATGGGGACGGTGACCCCCAGACCCCCGGACCCCCCTCCTGGATCCCCCGGAGCCCCCCGGAGCCCCCCGAGCCCCCATCCCCTCGGGTCCTTCCGCGGCTCCCGGCTCCGTGCTCCATTAGGAACCCCCCAGTCCCACTGGGGACCCCAGCCCTGTGTGGGGGCGGTCCCACACTAGAGCCGGACCAATGAGCGGCTGTGACGCCTCAAGGGGGCGGGACCAAATGAGGCAGCAACTAATAGCCTGTCGGTGCGGGTGTGGTCTGTGGATGACGTCACTGGGCGTGGCAGTCCCGCCCAGTCTGGGGGGGTTTGGGGGGGAGTCTGGGGTGATTGAGGGGTCCCAGCGCTCCTTACGGGCGGGGCCGAGCGGTGTCACCGGGACAGGGACAAGGACAGGGACCCGCTCTGCCGTGAATTCGAAACCCCGCACCCCCGGGCCGGGGGCTGTGCGACCCCCCAGGGGGAGGGAGGGCTAAGAGGGGGTCCCAGCCCGGCTCCAGCTCTCGCCTCCCACTCTCCTGTCCTTGTCCCTGTCTCTGTCCCTGTCCCCGCTCCCCCTCGGTGACACGCGGCTCCTCTCCCCCCTCAAACCCAGCTCGATGTGACACAAAATTTGGGTTTATTCACCGACACCCCCAAACCCCGCGGCACCGGGGCTGGGAGGGGCGGGACCCCCTGAGGACCCCCGTGTCCCTCGGGTGTCACCGCCTGATGTCCCTTAGCGGTCACAGTCTGATGTCCCCAGGTGTCCCAGGCTGATGTCCCCCCGTCCCTCACCAGCCGCTGCAGCTCCCTGGTGCTCTCCTGCAGCCGCTGCAGCCGCGGCTCCAGCGCCGCCTGCTCGGCCAGGGCCTGGCGGCGCCGCTGCCCCAGCGCGTCCCTCTTGGCCAGCTGCAGCTCGGCCTGCAGCAGCTGCTGCCGCAGCAGGGCTGTCACCCGCTCCACGTACCTGGGGACACGGACAGGGACAGGGACACGCTGCAGGGCAGGGACAGGGACAGGGACACACTGCAGGGACAGGGACACGCTGCAGGGACAGGGACACGGGTCACACTGCAGGGACACGGGTCACACTGCAGGGACAGGGACACGCTGCAGGGCAGGGACAGGGACAGGGACACACTGCAGGGACAGGGACACGCTGCAGGGACAGGGACACGGGTCACACTGCAGGGACACGGGTCACACTGCAGGGACAGGGACACGGACAGGGTCACACTGCAGGGACAGGGACAGACTGCAGGACAGGGACAGCGGGGACACCTGAATCACCCTGCACGTCCCCCCTGGTTAAGGGCTGGTTTTGGGACTATTTTAGGGCTGTTTTGGGGGCTTCTTTAGAGCTATCTTAGGGGTTATTTCAGGGGCTGCTTGGGGTCCATTTTAGGGATTTTTAGGGGTTCTTTGGGGTCTATTTTAAGGCTATTTTAGGGATTATTTCAGGGGCTGGTTTAGGGCTACTTTAGGGCTATTTTAGAGCTCTTTTAGGGGCTATTTTAGGGCTATTTTGGGGCTATTTTAGGGGCTCTTTTAGGGGCTCTTTTAGGGGCTATTTTAGGGGCTATTTTAGGGCTCTTTTAAGGACTCTTTTAGGGCTATTTTGGGGCTATTTTAGGGCTCTTTTAGGGTTATTTTAGGGGCTGTTTTAGGATTATTTTGGGTCTGTTTTAGGGCTATTTCAGGTCTGTTTTAGGGCTATTTCGGGTCTGTTTTAGGGCTACTTTCGGCTCTGTTTTAGGGCTATTTCGGCTCTGTTTTAGGGCTATTTTAGGGTCTGTTTTGGGATTATTTTGGGTCTGTTTTGGGATTATTTTCAGGTCTGTTTTAGGGCTATTTTAGGGTCTGTTTTGGGATTATTTTGGGTCTGTTTTGGGATTATTTTCAGGTCTGTTTTAGGGCTATTTTAGGGTCTGTTTTAGGGCTCTTTTAGGGACTATTTTAGGGCTATTTTGGGGCTATTTTAGGGCTATTTTCGGGTCTGTTTTAGGGCTATTTTGGGGCTATTTTAGGGCTGTTTTAGGGTCTGTTTTAGGGCTATTTTGGGGCTATTTTAGGGCTTATTTTAGGGCTATTTTCAGGTCTGTTTTAGGGCTATTTTCGGGTCTGTTTTAGGGCTATTTTGGGGCTATTTTAGGGCTCTTTTAGGGTTATTTTAGGGGCTGTTTTAGGATTATTTTGGGTCTGTTTTAGGGCTATTTCAGGTCTGTTTTAGGGCTATTTCGGCTCTGTTTTAGGGCTATTTTAGGGTCTGTTTTAGGGCTATTTCGGCTCTGTTTTAGGGCTATTTTAGGGTCTGTTTTAGGGCTATTTCGGCTCTGTTTTAGGGCTATTTTAGGGTCTGTTTTAGGGCTCTTTTAGGGACTATTTTAGGGCTATTTTGGGGCTATTTTAGGGCTATTTTCGGGTCTGTTTTAGGGCTATTTTGGGGCTATTTTAGGGCTGTTTTAGGGTCTGTTTTAGGGCTATTTTGGGGCTATTTTAGGGCTCTTTTAGGGTTATTTTAGGGGTTGTTTTAGGATTATTTTCGGGCCTGTTTTAGGGCTATTTCGGATCTGTTTTGGGATTATTTTCAGGTCTGTTTTAGGGCTATTTTAGGGTCTGTTTTAGGGCTATTTCGGCTCTGTTTTAGGGCTATTTCGGCTCTGTTTTAGGGCTATTTTAGGGTCTGTTTTAGGGCTCTTTTAGGGACTATTTTAGGGCTATTTTGGGGCTATTTTAGGGCTCTTTTAGGGTTATTTTAGGGGCTGTTTTAGGATTATTTTGGGTCTGTTTTAGGGCTATTTCAGGTCTGTTTTAGGGCTATTTCGGCTCTGTTTTAGGGCTATTTTAGGGTCTGTTTTAGGGCTATTTCGGCTCTGTTTTAGGGCTATTTTAGGGTCTGTTTTAGGGCTATTTCGGCTCTGTTTTAGGGCTATTTCGGGTCTGTTTTAGGGCTATTTTGGGGCTATTTTAGGGGTTATTTTAGGGATTGTTTTAGGATTATTTTCGGGCCTGTTTGGTCTGTTTCGGGTTTTTTTCCGGTCTGTTTTGGGATTTTTTTGGGCTGTTTTAGGGCTATTTCGGCTCTGTTTTAGGGCTATTTCGGCTCTGTTTTAGGGCTATTTTAGGGTCTGTTTTGGGATTATTTTGGGTCTGTTTTGGGATTATTTTCAGGTCTGTTTTAGGGCTATTTTGGGTCTGTTTCAGGGCTATTTCGGGTCTGTTTTAGGGCTATTTTCAGGTCTGTTTTGGGATTATTTTCGGCTCTGTTTTGGGATTATTTCCGGTCTGTTTCGGGATTATTTCCGGTCTGTTTTGGGATTATTTTCGGCTGTTTTAGGGCTATTTCGGCTCTGTTTTAGGGCTATTTCGGCTCTGTTTTAGGGCTATTTCGGCTCTGTTTTAGGGCTATTTTAGGGTCTGTTTTAGGGCTATTTCGGCTCTGTTTTAGGGCTATTTTAGGGTCTGTTTTAGGGCTCTTTTAGGGACTATTTTAGGGCTATTTTGGGGCTATTTTAGGGCTATTTTCGGGTCTGTTTTAGGGCTATTTCGGCTCTGTTTTGGGATTATTTTCGGCTCTGTTTCGGGGCAGCCCAGGCACCTGGGCGAGGCGAGGATCATGCAGAGGTGCTGCACGCTGCGGGAGCACAGCTGGGCCAGCAGCTCCCGCGCCGTGGCCAGCCGGGCCCGCAGCCGCGCGCCGCTCTGGCCCTGCAGCGCCGCCGGGGCCGCCTGCAGCTGGCTCATGGCCACCACGTCCGCATCGTCCTCCAGCTCCAGCAGCCGCTGCGCCAGGAACAGCTCCAGCTGCGGGGACAGCGCACGGTCACCGACAGGACGGGGACGGGGATGGGGACGGAGACAGGAAACTGACAGGGACAGAGATGGGGATGGGGACAGGGACAGGGACAGGGAACTGACAGGGACGGGGACAGGGACAGGGAACTGACAGGGACAGGGATGGGGATGGGGACAGGGACAGGGATCAGGGACTGGGACTGGGACAGCGACAGGGACGGGGATGGGGATGGGGACAGGGATGGGGATGGGGACAGGGACAGGGACAGGGATGGGGACAGGGACAGGGACAGGGATAGGGACAGGGATGGGGACGGGGAACTGACAGGGATGGGGGGGACGGGGATAGGGACAGGGATGGGGACGGGGACAGGGACAGGGACAGGGTCACCAACGGGGACAGGGACGGGGATAGGGACAGGGACAGGGCACTGACAGGGACAGGGACAGGGATGGGGACAGGGACAGGGACGGGGACAGGGATCAGGGACGGGGACAGGGATGGGGACAGGGACAGGGACGGGGACAGGGACGGGGAGAGGGATGGGGACAGCGACAGGGGACAGGGACAGGGCACTGACAGGGACAGGGACAGGGATGGGGACAGGGACAGGGACGGGGACAGGGATCAGGGACGGGGACAGGGATGGGGACAGGGACAGGGACGGGGACAGGGACAGGGACAGGGATGGGGACAGCGACAGGGACTGGGACAGGGACAGCAACAGGGACGGGGACGGGGACAGGGATGGGAACTAACAATGACAGGGACAGGACAGCGACAGGGACGGGGACAGGGACAGGGATGAGGACAGGGACAGGGACGGGGACAGGGAAAGGAACAGGGAACTGACAGGGACAGGGACAGGGACAGGGAGCTGACAGATACACTGATAGGGACACTGTGACAGGGACAGGGACGCTGCCAGGGAACTGACAGGGACACCTCCAGGGTCACAGGCAGGGCCAGCCGTGTCCCCGGTGCCCACCTCCATCAGCTCGTCGATGAACTGGTTCCGAGTCTCGGGGTTCTCCAGCAGGGTCAGCGCGTCCGAGCCGCGGGCAACGTCCTCGGGGGCTGCAGGGGGTGGGACCCCAAAGCCAGCTCAGCTTCACCCCAAACCCTGCCCAGCACCCCAAAACCCTGCCCAGCAACCCCAAAATCCCTGCCCAGCACCCCAAATCCCTGCCCAGCACCCAAAACCCCTGCTCAGCACCCAAATCCCTGCCCAGCACCCCAAAACCCCTGCCCAGCACCCAAAACCCCTGCTCAGCACCCAAATCCCTGCCCAGCACCCAAAAATCCCTGCCCAGCACCCAAATCCCTGCCCAGCACCCCAAAATCCCTGCCCAGCACCCAAACCTCACTCCCTGCCCCACCCCAACCCCCTGTGGGGTGTCCAGGGGCACTGGGAACGGGGAATTTGGGGGGATTTGGGAGCTGCCTGTGCCCCCCAGGACCCCCAGCCCCGCTCACCCTCAGTTCCAGACTCCACCACCGTGATCGTCCCCTCCTGTCCCTTCTTGCCATCACCCCAATCGATGCCATCGTCCCCCTGGGGAGCAAAGGGTGACACTGGGTGACACAGGGGGGTTTGGGGACACAGGGACACCCCTGGCCTGGGGGTGTCACCCACCTGGGGACTGGGCTCTGACTCCCTGCCCCACCCCAACCCCCTCTGGGGTGTCCAGGGGCACTGGGAACAGGGAATTTGGGGGATTTGGGAGCTGCCTGTGCCCCCCAGGACCCCCAGCCCCGCTCACCCTCAGTTCCAGACTCCACCACCGTGATCGTCCCCTCCTGTCCCTTCTCTCCGTCACCCCAATCGATGCCATCGTCCCCCTGGGGAGCAAAGGGTGACACTGGGTGACACAGGGGGGTTTGGGGACACAGGGACACCCCTGGCCTGGGGGTGTCACCCACCTGGGGACTGGGCTCTGCTGTGATCGTCCCCTCCTGTCCCTTCTTGCCATCACCCCAATCGATGCCATCGTCCCCCTGGGGAGCAAAGGGTGACACTGGGTGACACAGGGGGGTTTGGGGACACAGGGACACCCCTGGCCTGGGGGTGTCACCCACCTGGGGACTGGGCTCTGCAGTGATCGTCCCCTCCTGTCCCTTCTCGCCATCACCCCAATCGATGCCACCGTCCCCCTGGGGAGCAAAGGGAGACAAAGGGGGACATCAGGGGGTTTGGGGACACAGGGACATCGCCCCACTCAGTGCCACCATCCCCCCGAGGAAGGAGGGGTGACACGGTGCCACGGTGCGGCCTGGGGACACAGGGACGTCACCCACCTGGGGACCGGGCTCCACGGTGATGCCCCAGTCGATGTCCCCGCCCTGGGGCGGCTCCGCGGGGAAATCCCCCCAATCAATCTGCGGGAAAATGCCCAAAACCGCCCTGAGCCACGGCCCCGCCCGCCGGGGTCCCCGTGTCCCCCCCTGTCCCCTCCCCGGTACCCACCGTGTCCTCGCGGGGCGGCTCCGGTGCCTCGCGCGGCTCGGGCCGCTCCAGCCGCTGCGGCTCCCGCCCCGTGCGCCACCGGAACACCGAGCAGTTCCCGTGCGACACCGCCAGCCGCAGCAGCGGCAGCGCCTCGGCCCCGGGGCTGCGGGACAGCGCGGGGACACGGGGACAGCATTGGGGACACGGGGACAGCGTGGGGACACGGGGACGTGGGGACATGGGGACAGCGTGGGGACATGGGGACAGCATTGGGGACACGGGGACATGGGGACAGCGTGGGGACACGGGACAGCATGGGCCATGGGGACAGCAACGGGGACATGGGGACAGCGTGGGGACAGCATTGGGGACAGCACGGGGACACGGGGACATGGGGACAACGCGGGGACATGGACACGGGGACAGCGCGGCACGTGGGGACAGCATTGGGGACACGGGGACATGGGGACAGCATTGGGGACACGGGACAGCGCGGCACGTGGGGACAGCGCGGGGACACAGGGACATGGGGACAGCGCGGCACGTGGGGACAGCATTGGGGACAGCGCGGGGACACGGGACAGCATTGGGGACACGGGACAGCACCGGGGATGGGATCACTCATGGGGACATTGGTTATGAGGACATCGCTCATGGGGACATCGGGGTGGGGACACCTCAGCACCCGCAGCGCCGGGGTTTTGGGGCCAGGAGCTGGTTCAGGGCAGTTTGGGGAGCTGGGGCTGGTTTTGGGGATAGGGGCAGTTTTTGGGGGTGTCAGGGCTGTTTTGGGGCTGATTTGGGGTGGCAGGGCTGTCTTGGGGCTGTTTTGGGGCTGTTTCGGGGTGTCAGGGCTGTCTTGGGGCTGTTTCGGGGTGGCAGGGCTGTCTTGGGGCTGTTTTGGGGCTGCAGGGCTGTTTTGGGGCTGTTTCGGGGTGGCAGGGCTGTTTTGGGGCTGTCTTGGGGCTGTTTTGGGCTGTCAGGGCTGTTTTGGGGCTGCCAGGGCTGTCTTGGGGCTGTTTCGGGGTGTCAGGGCTGTTTTTGGGGCTGTTTTGGGCTGTCAGGGCTATTTTGGGGCTGGTTTGGGGCAGGTTTGGGGCTGTTTTGGGGCTGTTTCGGGGTGGCAGGGCTGTCCCCACCTGTCACACACGAAGGCCACGCAGGCCTGGTACAGCTCGATGGCGTCCCCGAGGGCGCTGGCGCCGTCCCCGATGCGGGACAGCAGCGACGGCAGCGCCTGCACCTGAGCCAGCAGCTCCTGGCGCACGTCCTGGCCCTGGGGACACCGCGGGGACACTTGGGGACATGCTGGGGACACCGCGGGGACACTTGGGGACACGCTGGGGACACCGCGGGGACACTTGGGACATGCTAGGGACACTTGGGGACATGCTGGGGACACCTGTTTTAGGGTCTTTTTGGGGTTATCTTGGGGCCCATTTGGGGCTCTCCCAGGCCTGCTTTAGGGTCTGTTTGGGGTTATTCTGGGGCCTGACTGGGGCCGTCCCAGGCCTGTCCCAGGCTCTGTTCAGGGCCATCCCAGGCCTGTCCCAGGCTCTATCTGGGATTATCCCAGGCCTGTCCCAGGCTCCATCTGGGGCCATCCCAGGCCTGTCTCGGGCTCTGCCCGGGGCCATCCCAGGCCTGTCTCAGGCTCTGTCTGGGGCCATCCCAGGCCTGTCTCGGGCTCTGCCCGGGGCCACCCCAGCCCCTCGGGGTCCCGCGGCACTCACGGCGATGCCGTACTGGCGGCAGGAGCTCAGGAAGCGCTCGCGGAGCTCGCCCGCCCGCAGCTGGCACTCGTCCTCGCGCCGCGCCAGCTCCTGCTGCGCCTGCTGCCAGCGGCCCCGCTGCCGCCGCAGCGCCGGCAGCTCGTAGCCGACGCTGCGCGCCAGCAGGCTCGAGAGCTCGGCTGGGGGGGACGGCGGCGTCACCCCGACACCCCCGGGGGCTCGGCCCGCGGGATCGGGCGTTCCCATGAAGCCTGGGCTTTAAATCCTGTCCCATCCTGGTCTACGGGCTGGATTCACCTTTAAATCCCACCCCATCCCATCCATCCCATGGATCCCATCCCATCCCATCCCATCCCATCCCATCCCATCCCATCCCATCCCATCCATCCCATCCCATTTCCCATCCCATCCCATTCTGGTTTGGGGACTGAATTCCACCCACCCAGGGGGTTCTTTGGGACACCTCGGGGAATTCCCGTTCCCACTCCCATTCCTCCCATTATTCCCGTTCCCATCATTCCCGTCATTCCCATCATTCCCATCCCCCCTCACCCAGGTAGGCGTTGTCCTTCTCGTAGAGGGACACGATCTCCTGCCAGTCCTGGGCACGGACACGAGGGTCAGCAGCAGGAGGAGGAGGAGGAGGAAGATGAGGAGAAAGAGAGGAATGGAGGAGGAAGAGAAGGATGAGGAAGAGGAGGAGGAACAGGAGTAAGAAGAGGAGGAGGAAGAAGAGGAGGAGGAGAAAAAAAAGGAGGATGGAGGTGGAAGAGGAGGAAGAAGAGGAAGAGGAGGAGGAAGAGGAGGGCGCTCCCACCTTCATCCTCTGGGACGAGTAGCGCCCGAAGAGGTTCTTGGTGGAGGCCTCGGTGCCCTTGAGGATCTCCACGATGCGCAGGCAGTGGAAGTAGTGCAGGTCTGGGGGGCAGCAAGGGGCTCAGGGGGCTGGGGGGGCCGGGGGTCCCTGGGGGGCTTTGGGGGATCCCCAGGAGACTGCTGAAGGAGGTTTTGGGGGCTTCTTGAGCTGCCACCACCAGCCCTTTGCAAACAGCCTCCCCACCCCAAATCCTGGCTCTCCAGGGGGGAGATCCATCCCCAAATCCCAAACCCCAAACCCCCAAAAGCCCCAAAGCCCCACCCCAGACCCCGCGGCCGGCGCCAGGCACTGACAGGAGCCCTGCAGCAGCGCTCGGATCTCGGGGTGCTCGGGCATGTCCTGCAGCGCCGCCCGGATCCGCTCCCGCACCTGCGCCACCTGCGCCGGCCAGCGCCGCCCGCAGTGCCGCCGGTCCAGCAGCCAGTCTGGGGGACACGGGGACACGGGGTCACCAGGCGACACGGGGACAGCGGGGGGGACACGGGGAGAGCGGGGGGGACACGGGGAGAGCGGGGGGGACACGGGGAGAGCGGGGGGGACACGGGGAGAGCGGGGGGGACACGGGGAGAGCGGGGGGGACACGGGGAGAGCGGGGGGGACACGGGGAGAGCGGGGGGGACACGGGGAGAGCGGGGGGGACACGGGGAGAGCGGGGGGGACACGGGGAGAGCGGGGGGGACACGGGGAGAGCGGGGGGGACACGGGGAGAGCGGGGGGGACACGGGGAGAGCGGGGGGGACACGGGGAGAGCGGGGGGGACACGGGGAGAGCGGGGGGGACACGGGGAGAGCGGGGGGGACACGGGGAGAGCGGGGGGGACACGGGGAGAGCGGGGGGGACACGGGGAGAGCGGGGGGGACACGGGGAGAGCGGGGGGGACACGGGGAGAGCGGGGGGGACACGGGGAGAGCGGGGGGGACACGGGGAGAGCGGGGGGGACACGGGGAGAGCGGGGGGGACACGGGGAGAGCGGGGGGGACACGGGGAGAGCGGGGGGGACACGGGGAGAGCGGGGGGGACACGGGGAGAGCGGGGGGGACACGGGGAGAGCGGGGGGGACACGGGGAGAGCGGGGGGGACACGGGGAGAGCGGGGGGGACACGGGGTCAGCGGGGACATGGGGACACAGGGACACGGGGACAGCGGGGACACCAGGACAGCGGGGGGGACACGGGGACACGGGGTCACCGGGACAGCGGGGACACTGGGACAGCGGGGGACACCGGGACAGGGGGGTCACCACGGGGACACCCCGGGATGTGGGGACACCGACATGGGGACAGCGGGGTCAGCTGGGGTGGGGGACACGACACCCCCCGGGCTCCGGGCTCACGGGGGACAAACACCGGGAGCAATTCCCGAGTCCTCTCCCAAAGCCCGGGATGGATCCCCGGCTCTTCCCCAGGTCAGGAGGGAAAACGGGAACGGGGCTGGGATAACCGGGATGAATTCCGGTTCCCTCCCGGTCTGCAGGGAAAGCGGGAACGGGGCTGGGATAACCGGGATGAATTCCGGTTCCCTCCCGGTCTGCAGGGAAAGCGGGAACGGGAGAGGCCGGAGCCGGGGCTCACTCCCGCACCCAGCAGCTTGCTGGTCTGGATGTCGATGGGCACATTCCGGTAATCCTGCGGAGCGACCTGCGGGGAGAACACGGCAGGAGCGGGGCTGCGGCAGCCGGAACCGGCACCGGAACCGGCACCGGAACCGGCACCGGCAGCGGGGAGGGGGTCGGGACCCTCCGCTCCAGAGCCAGGCCCGGGCTGTCCCCGCTACTCTGGTCCTTTCCCCGCTTCCGGCCCCGATCCCGCTCCAGGCCCCTTCCCCACTCCCGGTCCTTTCCCCGGTCCCGATCCAGGTCCCGGTCCCGATCCCGGCCCCGATCCCCGGTCCCGGCCCCGATCCCGGTCTTTTCCCCGCTCCCGCTCCCGGTCCCGATCCCGATACCGATCCCGATCCCGATCCCGGTCCTTTCCCCGCTCCCGATCCCACTCCCGGTCCCGATCCCGATCCCGGTCCTTTCCTCAATCCCGATCCCGCTCCCGATCCCGGTCCCGGTCCTTTCCCCGGTCCCGATCCCACTCCCGATCCCGATCCCGGTCCTTTCCCCAATCCCGGTCCCGGTCCCGATCCCGATCCCGGTCCTTTCCCCAATCCCGGTCCCGGTCCCGGTCCCGATCCCGATCCCGGTCCTTTCCCCAATCCCGGTCCCGGTCCCGATCCCGATCCCGATCCCGGTCCCGGTCCCGGTCCCGGTCCCGATCCCGATCCCGGTCCTTTCCCCAATCCCGGTCCCGGTCCCGGTCCCGATCCCGATCCCGGTCCTTTCCCCAATCCCGGTCCCGGTCCCGATCCCGATCCCGATCCCGGTCCCGGTCCCGGTCCCGGTCCCGATCCCGATCCCGGTCCTTTCCCCAATCCCGGTCCCGGTCCCGGTCCCGATCCCGATCCCGGTCCTTTCCCCAATCCCGGTCCCGGTCCCGTCCCCGCTCCCGGTCCCGCTCCGCACCTGCATCTTTCCCGTCACCGCCTCTCCACTTCCGCCCTCCCCGCCCCAGCCAATCGCCTGCCCCAGCGCCCGCGCCTCGGCCAATCAAAGCGCGCTCCGCCCAGAGGTCCCGCTCCCGCCAATCAGAACTCGCGGCTCGGAGGCAGCGCCACGTCCCTGTGCTTCCATTGGATGAAGGGGAAAGGGCGTGGTCAGTGCGGACCAATCGGTGAGGGCAGTGGGAGTTTCGGGGTCCCGATCCCCATCCCGGCCATAATCCCGGTCCCAACCCGGGTGCCAGTGCCGGTCCCGGTTCTGGCCTTAATCCCGGTCCGGTTCCAATCCTGGCACCAATCCCGGTCCCGGTCCCAATCCTGGCACCAATCCCGGTCCGGTTCCACACCTGGCACCAATTCCAGTCCGGTCCCAAACCTGGCCCCAATCCCGGTCCCGATCCCAAACCTGTCACCAATCCCGGTCCGGTCCCAAATCTGGCACCAATCCCGGTCCCGGTCCCAATCCTGGCACCAATCCCGGTCCGGTTCCACACCTGGCACCAATTCCAGTCCGGTCCCAAACCTGGCCCCAATCCCGGTCCCGATCCCAAACCTGTCACCAATCCCGGTCCGGTCCCAAATCTGGCACCAATCCCGGTCCCGGTCCCAATCCTGTCACCAATCCCGGTCCGGTCCCAAATCTGGCACCAATCCCGGTCCCGGTCCCAATCCTGGCACCAATCCCGGTCCCAGTCCTGGCACCAGTCCCGCTCCGGTCCCAAGGTGCCTCGGCACCGGTCCCGATCCCCGGGATCCCCCCAGCCGTCCCGCAGCGCTCCCCACGAGGCTCCCGAGCAGATCCCAAACCCTGCGGGACCCCCAGGTGCTCCCAGATCCCTTGGGAGCCGCTGCGTGCCCCAGCAGAGATCCGGAACCCCCTGGGACCCCCAAAAGGAGCCCCAAAAGGAGCCCAAATCCCTCGGGGACCCTGGGAGGGCCCTGGAGCAGATCCCAGATCCCCCCGGGCCCGACCATCCCCTCCGGAGCCGGGATCGCCCGGGACCCGCTGGGATCATCCCCGGATCCACTCGGGGGAGCGGCTCCGGGGGTCCCGCGGTGTCCCCGTGGTGTCCCCGCGGGGACACATACCAGCGGCAGCCGCGGTGCCCCCGCTCCCGGTGCCGCCACCGGGCCTCGAGGCCACCGCGCCCCGAGCGCTGCCACGGCCACCCGGGGCCACCCAGAGCCACCCAGAGCCACCCGGGGCCACCCGGGGCCACCCGGAGCCACCCCGGGCCACCCAGAGCCACCCCGGGCCACCCGGGGCCACCGTCCCGGGGCTGGCACCGCTCCCTGTCATGAATATTCAGCCGTGCCTGGCCCGGCCCCGCTGTTTGCTCGGGCAGGAGGGGTTTGGGAGCGGGTTCACCTTGACGGGAACACCGGGACAGCCGCAGGTGAGCGGCACCTGCCCGCGCTGCCCCCCCGGGACACCCCCGGGACACCCCGGGACCCCCGGGACACCCCGGGACACCCTCGGGACACACCGGGACACACCGGGACACCCCCGGGTCACCCCGGGACACCCCGGGACACCCCCGGGACCCCCGGAGGCGGCAGGAGCAGGTACCGGGGTGCGGTGTCCAGGCTGGGGATGGGATGTGGGACCCCCTGGGACACTCTGGGGACGTGGGACCCCCTGGGACACTCTGGGGACGTGGGACCCCCTGGGACACTCTGGGGACGCGGCCGGGGGTGGTCCCAGCTGGCTCTGGCACGGGGAGGGGACGCTGGGGACACAGGAGCCACCGGCGGGGTGGTGGCCGCACTCCCTGTGCCGTGTCCCCATGTCGCAGAGGGAAACGGGGATTTTATCCCCAAAGCGACACCGGGCAGGGGCCGCTGGTGGCTGAGCACCACGGGGACAGGGGCGGGGACAGGGAGGGGGACAGGGACGGGGACACGGGGCTGTGCTGGCCCCCGGGCCCCGGGAATCCCCCGGTGCCCGCGGCTCGGAGCCGCCTCCCCTCGGTTCCTGCCCCGGGGCCACGCTGGGCTCCGGAGCCTTCCCGGAGCCTTCCCGGAGCCTTCCCGGAGCCTTCCCCGGCCCCTGCAGCTCCCCCGGCGGGCGGGCGAGCCCCGAGCCCGGCTGGGGACCCCCGGCACCTCCCCGGTGCCACCTGCGCCCCAGTTCCTGTTCCTGTTTGCTCAGCGCGCTCCCTCCCCGCCACACGTGGCCGATAAGGGCAGCTCCCGGCGCCGCCAGCCGCCTTCTCCCGGCTTTCCGCCGGAATTCCCGAGCCGTGGAACACCCACCCCGTCCCGGTGCCCCGGGCAGCAGCATCCCGCGGGGAGGGAGCGCCGCAGCCGCGATGGAGCGGCGGGAGGGCGGCCCCGGGGAGGGCCGGGGCAGCGCCGGGAGGGAGCTGCAGCCCCGCGTGCCGTTCCAGGATGGCCGACGGGCACGGCTGGTGGAAGCTGACGTTCCTGCGGAAGCGCCAGGCAGCGCCCACGGTGCTGTACGAGAGCCCCGAGGGCCCCGCGGCGCCGGGCGGGGACGGCGCGGAGGGGACGGGCCCCGAGGGGACGCCCGGCTTCGCCGCCCGCCTGGAGAAGATCGTGGACAAGAGCACCAAGGGCAAACACGTCAAGGTCTCGCACTCCGGGCGCTTCAAGGAGAAGAAGAAAGTGAGGGCGACGCTGGCCGAGCATCCCAACCTGTGCGGGGCCGGCGAGCGCGAGGAGCAGTGACCCCGGCGGATTGTCGCCCCCCGGGGACAGGATGGACAGGAGGACTCAGGATGGAATTTACCCGTGCGAGGGATAACCCGTGAGCTGCGGGGCTGAGCCCGGGGCGCAGCGCTCCCCGTCCCGCCCGCTGCCCAGCGCTGGCTGGTTCGTACTGGGATGGACACTCCCCGCCCGGCTCTGCCCCGATCCCGTTCCCAGTCCCCTCCTCCCGTCGCGTTCTGGGGCCGAGCCCCGCTCGTGTCCCAGTCCCGAGGGGCTGCAGAGCCGCCGAGTCCCCCCCGAGGGGGGATGCGACACTTCCCCGTCCCGAGGGAGCGACGCTGCGGGACCGATCCCGCCGCGGGGACCGCGGAGCGCTCCCCGGAGGAGCCGCTTTCCCCGGGAATCGGTCCCGGAGGAGCCGCTTTCGCCGGGAATCCCTCCCGGAGGAGCCGCTTTCCCCGGGAATCGGTCCTCCCGGAGGAGCCGCTTTCCCCGGGAATCGGCCCCCGCTGCTGGAAGCGGGGGTCCCGCCCCGCGGCCCGGGATGCTGGAAGCGCTCGCGCCTGCTGCTAATTAACTGTGGTTAATAAACCCAGCCTGGGAGCGGAGACGGCTCCGGGAGAGCTCCGCGGATCCCGAAACCCGGCATGGAAGGGTGGGAAGGCTCTGGATCCTTCTGGGATCCCTCTGGGAGCCATCCCGGGGAATCCCTGACCCCGCAGAGGCGGCTCCGGTGATTTCCTGCGGATCCCGGGATCCCTCCCGGCAGGTCTGGATCCCTCTGGAAGCCCGGAGGGAGCGCGGCCATCCCGGGAATCCCTGACCCCTGGGAAAGGGGACCCTCGGGGCCGGCCGGAGCCCGGGGAGCGCTCCCAGCTCCCTGACCCCGCGGGGAAAGGGACGATCCTCGATCCCGGATCCTCGATCCCGGATCCTCGATCCCAGATCCCGGATCCGCCATCCCGGCCCCGCAGGGCGCGGCTGTTCCCGAGCTCCGCAGCTCCAGCCCGGCTCCGCCAGAAGGCGGAGGGTGCCCGGAGCCCAGCCCCGGTTTCCCGGCACGGGGCCGGTGCCAGCTCCGCCCGGGGCCGGTCCCGGTCCCGGTCCCGCCCTGGCTCGGTTCGCTCGCGGCCCGGGGTCCCGGACCGTGTCCCGGCGGGAGCGGGAGGGGAGCGGAGCCCCTCGGTGCCTTTACCCCTGGAATTTGGGACAACTCTGTGCCCCTTCTGCGACACCGGCCCGTCCCCTCCTGTCCTTCCAAGGGACGGGCACAGCCGGGAGGGTCCAGAGCCACCCAGGGCCGGTGACAGGACGGGAACCCAGGACAGGCACGGTGCCGCTCCGGGACAGCAGGCACGGAACCGGCCCGGGTTTGGGGCTGGATTCACCCAGGCCCGGGTCAGGCCCGGGATTCGCGGCAGCTCCCTGGGCCCGGCCGCGCCTGGCTAAACATTAACTCGCTGTTAACCGACGTAAATCCTGGTTTATTCCTTTCCAGCTGCTGGAGGAGGGGACGCGCTGAGGCCGCTGTTAACCCACAGCCTCCACGTAAATCCTGGTTTATTCCTTTCCAGCTGCTGGAGGAGGGGACGCGCTGAGGGTTGGGGTCTCACGGCCCTGGGACAGCCACGACGCGATTTAAATTAATTAAACACCAGCAGTAATGAGCAGGGAATTGAGCACATTCCACGATCCCAGCTAAAGCACGGAGAGAGAGCTGGCAGTGGCGGGACAGGGACGGCTGAGGGTTGGGGTCTCACGGCACGATTTAAATTAATTAAACACCAGCAGTAATGAGCAGGGAATTGAGCACATTCCACGATCCCAGCTAAAGCACGGAGAGAGAGCTGGCAGTGGCGGGACAGGGACAGCGACAGCGACAGGGGGGTCACCGGGGTCACACCGGACCCTGCACGATCATTAACATAATTAATTAACCAGCGGGAGCGGCTGCAGGCGGATTTGGGGACGCAGGGGGCGAGGGCAGCTCGGGAGCCGCTCCCCAGCTCACAGCGAGGGACAGCGACAGCGACAGCGACAGCGACAGGGGGGTCACCGGGGTCACACCGGACCCTGCACGATCATTAACATAATTAATTAACCACCGGGTGCAGCTGGAGAAGGATTTGGGGACGCAGGGGGCGAGGGCAGCTCGGGAGCCGCTCCCCAGCGCACAGCGAGGGACAGCGCGGGGCGGCTGCGACACTTGGGGACAATCCTTGGGGACAATCCCCGGGGACATCGCGGGCGGGCTCAGGGCGACAGGCGCTCGTAGACCCAGTCGCCGTGGCCGCGGTGGGTCATGGCCCCGAGCGGCGCCGCGCGGTCCCGCAGCCGGCGGAACACGATCCGGTCGTGCAGCCGGTTCGATTGGCCCTGCCAGAACTCCACCACCTCCGGCTCCAGCAGGTACGCGCCCCTGCAAGGGCCAGCCGGCTGCGGGGGGCTCGGGGCACCCTGGGGGGCTCTGGGGGGGGGGCTCCGAGCACTTTGGGGGGTTCTGGGGAACTCAGGC